CCTGAAGAGGATGGTAGAAAATAGAACAAAGTGGAGATGTGTTGTTGAAGCCCTATATTCCGCTCAGAACCCAAGGGAATAATAACAATACAAGCAGCTACATAATTAATAGTTAAAAGTGATTATTATAAAACATTTGTATTTCCCAATGAATGAAATAACATAACGATACTGTTGTTATTACTGACGTTTCGCTACTTAATACTGATAACTTTATTTAAGTAATATTAAACTAAAGTTTACAAAATCTCAGCTTATAAACAGTAAACATATGTTAATATTGTATTCTTTGCATTTCAGAAACCCTAGCCATTCAGTTAGAAGAATCAGAACTATGCATACAAAAGAAAATTATTCAACCACTTCTACTATCATGGTAACAACTCTGTTGATTTGACTTAACTTTTGCTTGTATGCTTATTTTTCTAATTACTTAAAACTCTTACGTAATTCCGTAGGTTATTTTGTTTCCATGTACACCCTGAGTACAACTCTTTCATCAAACTATTCATGTTATCACGCAACTCTTCTTTAACAATCGTTTGTGATCACTTATCACTTTTGTTACTACCCTCTTATATCAACATCCAGTTCATCTGAACTTAAGAACTGAATTTTCGTTTGGCAAATTTAATGTACACACACACAAAACAACCGTATATATATGTATATATTTGCGATTGTACAGCTATGAAAATGAATTCACCGAAAAGATAATCTTCACTGAACTACTGGTCTTCTGTCTATTAATGTTCGAATGGGGATTTCTCATGAATATTATATTTGTGTAAATCTCAGCAAGATTAGAATCATTATCGAAAATGAAATAAACTTTGATGACCCTTCATGACTCAGACGTGGCTAGACAAGAATATCAAACACAAGATTTGTCCTTACATATATAAATGTATGCGTCGGTGGCACAGAGGTGGAATGCTCGCCAACCAAGCAGCATGTGGTCTAGGGTTCGATCCCCGGCTGACGCACTCCCAAACCTCGCTAAGCCAGCATTGAGAATAGTAAAGAGGGAAGCTTGAGCATAAGACTAGCAACCCAATCCCGTAAAAATGAACACCAATGCTACCAAAACTTCAAGCCTCTAGCTGGAAACGCTTTGTTTCACAGGGAACGTTACAGAATAAAAAATTTTAAAAAAATTGCTTCAAGTTTAGTGCTCAGAAACACCAGCGCAAGGAGCCGACGGATCAACAGACGTCAAACCCTTCGAAGCAATCAATCAGCTGGAAAGACGAAATTAAATTCCATGAAAAATTTTCACTTCTGGCATATTAATACATGTTGCTATTACTAATTTTGACTTTAGCATTTCATGAAGAATTTTTCAGCTTTTAACTGTGCCTAAAGCGTGTCTTTGGAAAAATGGAAAAAATTAAATATGAAATAAACAGAATTGTTCACATCAGTTTAAAAAGAAACTTTCGAATTTAGATTTACCCAGTATCATTCATATATGCCAGTAGGATTGGTGTGATCAGTGACTTCTTTTGTAATTCAGCAACCATAAGTTCATCCTAATGAGTATTGGGAACATTTGAATGTGATGGATAGTATAGGTAAATAAATATATATTTTAGGAGTAGATATCACTGGAGTAAATATTCCACCGTTAGTTTAAATGATTATAGCCGTATATTTCATTGCTTTAACACTAGGCAGTAACTGATGTCATGAGTTCAGTCTTTTGGTGGGTGCAGACTGAATTCTATCAGTCAATCCGCATAAATAAAAGTATCCATTATAGTCCAACAGGACGTCAATCATGAGCTCTGACAGCTGAATGTTAATGTATCAGACCGCAATACTGGGTGATCCGGTTTGGTATTTCAGGACGTACACGAGGTAATTCATGAATGAAAATATGCCTTACTGACAGCTATGTAACCTATATTCAAACCCTTTTGCCAATTGCCTCTTACCATCAGTCTAACTTTTAAATGCACGCTGGAGCAGTTGATCAACTTGAAAACATCAGGCTCAAAAATGATTTAAATATGTCATTGGATTCCCCCCCAGTAGCTGACGGGTTAACTAGGTTGGCCATAACTCGAACATCCTGAGCTCCATTCTCAACGTGGTCATTGTTGCATGCTGATGAAGGGTCATGGACTAGGACTAGACAGCTATCCCTGACCTTTGATATTCAGTTGTTCTCTAACTGATATCAGTCCATGATCAAATATGAAATATTTGCAGTTAATCAGACTGTATTTATTACACCTAATTAGCGCGGTTCACTTCACTCCTTAGCTTACACTTTAGCATTATGTAATTTAGAAACATAAATGTTTCACAGCTTGTACAGATTCATGGTTAAATGAAACCACCCCTTTTGCAAGATGATTACAGTAGGTTTTTAAAACTGAAATTATCAGATCGTGCCTGGTATTAAAATTTTAACTCCGGATTAAAAGCAAAATTATTAAATGAAAACCGTTCATTATAATTTGTATGTGGCTATGGTACATATGTTGAAATGGTAAATTTTGAGATATATTCCACTTCAGTTTTGGTAGCAGTGTGTTTTTCTCATGCGGTACGATATTTGACCTCATGCAAAACCTTCGCCCACTTCGGGACTTACTGTTGTCTACTTATCAGGGCTTTATTCTACAGGGCAATAGCTAGAAATTGAACCTGGGCCTCCATCACGACTGTAGAGCACTTTCGCACTGAACCCCAACGCACTACCCCATATTATTTAATGATTATGAAATAGCCTTTAATTATTAATTTAAGCATTCGTAAAACAGAATTATTAAAAAGACGGTTGCAGCGAAAAATATCTACTTTTCGACGAAGTCATCAACTAGGCTGTACACTCGTTTATTTATATTAGATCTGTGAGAAAGTTCCACAATTACTTCCGGTCAGAAGTCGAACTGATAAAATTATCAACTGTAAAAACAGAAGATAGGTAGTGACACTATTCTAGAAATATTACAGGTCAAAGTTTAAATTAGAAATTACAATGTGTAATAATCAGGAAGATGAGGTAGAAAAGACAAAATAGGATTAAAATTACTGGAAAACTCGTCAGTTTGTATACTTATGGGTTAAGGACGTAGTATTAACAAAAGGGGTAGGAGGCTGGGACATATAAAAATAAAATAAAAATATACGGGCAATTAGATGGAATAGCAATGGGTTTCCCTCCCCCTCAGGACCCCTTCTTGCTGACCGCTTTATCGCTAGCCTAGAAAACAACTCCTAATCATGAACCATCGACGAGCTTCATCTCTACAAGAGATACATTTATGATACTTTCATTATTTGTGATGAGAATTGTGATCTAAAAAACCTACTTCAAATCCCCAATATCGCCCACCCAAATATCGATTTCACGCTGGAAGTTGAGTTTAATTCAATGTTTCATTTCCTCGACGTTCAAATACGAAATAATACAGACGATTAGCTAAGGTGATCCATCTATAGAAAGCCCACATTGAACGGACAGTTTATCAACTTTCAAAGCTGTGGCCTCTAAGCAGAAAGCGAAACCTAATTTACTCTCTTTCCTCGAGGACCCGGAAGATTTACACTGAGGAGTCTATTGATGAAGAACTACGAAATCTCCAAGAGATCTTCATAGAAAATGGATTCCCATCCAGATTCATAGACAAGAATCTAAAACTGAAGAAAACCCCTGAAAAGGTCCAAATCACCCCCAAAAATATGTCAATAATTAACGTCGAATTTAAAAGTCATACCGAAGCAGAACTTCTCCGGAGATGGCTTTCGAAGTTTCTTAGTAAAACAAACTTCGTCTTCAGCCTCCGAGTAACATTCTCCTGCAAGAAACTACTCACCCAGCACATGAAAAACAAGCTGTCTTATTGGGCCACTTGAACATGAGTATACCTGTTCGCTTGCTCTTTTGAAGCTGAGTACACTGGCCGTACCATGCGCCCGCTTGTAAAATGCGCTCGGGAACACCATCCAGCATGGTTATCATAGAGAGAACGCAAAGGCGTATGCAGTTCGATAACAGAACATCTAGTGAATTCTGGACATTCAGCTCCGTTTGAAAATTCCTTCAAAGCCATATACAAGATCCGATCCAACCTACCAAAGGGAGTGAATTAAGGATATCTAGGAATAGCTGAGGCACTGGCGATCCAAAAACTCAAGCCTACTCTATGTGTCCAAAAGAAATACATCCAACCGTTTTCCCTACCTTGGACATCATGAAAAGTCAGTCCCACCAATAACGATTATCCCATTACCTTTCTTGTCCAACCTTCCCGTTTGTTTGTTATATTTACATTTTTAAATCCCCATCTGCATTATTAGATTTGGTTACTGCCCCTTTCGTTAATACTACGTCCTTAACCCGTATTTATACAAACTGACGAGTTTTGCAGTAATTATAATCCTATTTTGTCTTTTCTACCCCATCTTCCTGATTATTACACATTGTAATTTTTAATTTAACCTTTGACCTGTAATATTTCTAGAATAGTGTCACTACCTATCTTCTGTTTTTACAGTTGATAATTTTATCAGTTTGACTTTTGACCGGAAATAATTCTGGAACTTTCTCACACATCTAATATAAATACACGAATGTACAGCCTAGTTGATGACTTCGTCGAAAAGAAGATTTTCTTCGCTGCAACCATCTTTTTAATAAAACAGAATTCCAATATTTATTTCAACTCTTCCTTCATTTATATTCCTCATTCTCATTTGGGCCATCTGGAAATGATCAGACTGGCAGATAATAGACTAATTGCATTCAGTTCCAAGAAGATAAAACTTTAAGGATTTTAAACTTACACCATAAATTCTAGCCTCAAAATGTGATCCAGCACTGGCTAAAGAACCTTCATTTTCCAAATCGACACCGTCCAGTGTTTGACAATTAAAATGCTTGCGAGCTGCACTCTGAATGAATATGTTAAAAAAAGAATATATATATATTAAGATGATTTTATCCTCTTTTATTTACGTTTTGTTATTAGGACTTGAGTGAAAATTTAAAAGAACTCAGATATCTTGTAAACACTGTTGCTGGAAACGAATCAAGCTATTTCATTTAAATTAATCACATCATACAGTTTCGCGATAACTGTAATCAAATCTGTATACTTGATTTCGAAACTCACTAGAAATATGAATTTAGAAAGTTTACTCAGTAGAATAATGATGATGAAATTCACACACAGTCAGAATGAACTTGGTGAGTGGTGGCAAGCAGTGGAATTCAGGGTGCGCATTTCGGGACCCGTCATCTGGATGCACCTGCAATCCTCAGTGAAAGTAAGCGTTTTCCCATTGAGGCATGAAGCCACTACCCATCGTTTCGAATTCCGAAGCCTAAGTGGTCTAGTGATAAATCTTTGGTGTTTGAAACAATGAGTACTGGGTTTGAGCCTCAGTGGGAACACCGTCACTTCGATTTGTAACTGCAGGTATATCCAGTTGACAACTCCAGAAAAGGATGAAATGCTGGACACCATCAACTAAATTGTTTCAAGCTACTCCTCAGTTGTTGTCAAAGCGTCCGTACTAGGAGCCGATAAGTCAACACAAGTAGAGCATTTCGGTCAAATGAATCAACTGGAAAATGAAAATGACTTTTTAATGAATAATTAAGCGTAGTTTGTTTCGTTGTAAACTTTTGGTTATATGCAGTCGAATACTTCCCAGTCCCCTATACCAGCAAATTCAATAAGAGTTGTTGTTCCCTTACGTTCCCAGTGGAAAATAGGGCTTCCAGCTAGAGTTTTGAAGTTTTGCTAGCAGTGGTGTTTACTTTTACGAGATTGGGTTGCCGGTCTCATGCCCAACTATCCCTCTTTACCAATCGCATTGCTGGCTTAGCGAGGTTTGGGAGTGTGGCGGCCGGGGATCGAACCCCGAACCACATGCTGCGTGGTTGGCGAGCATTCTACCGCTGTGCCACTGACGTTAAAACAGCATATAACTATGCACAAACACTTTGCTTTCATCCTCTATTAATTCGAAATTAAGAATGTAGTTTAAAAAAAACAAGGAAGCAATTATCTTACCAGTACAGAAGGGGTTACTAAAGAAGTGACGATCCTAGGAACGGTTGTAACCGCTGACATCCAGTTTCGTTGAATTTTCTGAATTGTGTTTGTACTGTGGCCGAAGTAAGAATAGGAAATTTGTCGTAACTTTTTGTGAATACTTTCATCAGTTTTAAAGGTAACGTAGATTATTGAGACATCTAATTTTTAATTCTGGAAATCGCATACAGAACGTGGTTAGTTAGAAACAAAAAGCGATAACCGGTGGCATGTTTGTCGGAAAATGTGACATTCAACCCCACTAATGACAGATATAACTTTTTGTTTCAAGATATTCTAGACAGCTGGAGGTTCACAAACTATAAATAGATTACAATATTCCTTTAAACGAATAACTATTGTGTCTTACTGTGGAACTGGTGAAATAAAGGATCAACCATCGTCGAACGCTATCCATTTTATAAAATTATTCGCTAATTTAGGAATCAGAAGGTATACTGCCTAATTTTACTCTCTAAAATTGTATTAAAACATATATTCTTATTATTTTACATGCAGTAAACTTTAGAATAATGTGCCTGTATGTCACAGGTTTGTCGCCATAACTGATCTATTCACTAAACATGTAACGAGTTTTTATTTCAGTGAGACTGGGTGCATGGATGTATGTGTATATCAGTAATACTGTAGTTCGAGCAACCTTCACTCCATTCACTCTGATTATCTGTACTTTAAAACATCTCTAGAAATGTTTACATTCATTTTAGTACTACACCCGAAGTATGATCGACTTAAGACAGTCAGGATTTCTCAACACTAATCAGCCACAAACCAAATTTCAGCGCATATTTCCCATGTTCAATAAGTTATTATCATTTCAGATTCTGAATCCATTTAGAGGTAGTCATTGCACATGAATACCAACAGCAGTAGAGTCAAAGTTCACGTTATCTTTCTTAAAGTATCTTCACCCTAGTTTGGAACCTCTCATCATTACGCAGCCAATGGAGTTGCAAGCCAGAAAATTGCATTAATTACATGCGAATTTAGAGCTTCTAAAGATTAGATGGCTAGAGAGGATTGGCAGCGTTCACGTAGTACCCAGTGCTGACTGATTTTTGTCAGTGGAATTTGCGAAATAACCACCAAATTCAAAACTTGCCATCACTCTGTACTATCAGCTGATCATTCATTTTTGAATTAGTCAGCAGGAAGCTTTGAGGTTAAGTTTATTATCTATTTGCACTTATCTGGAAGACACATTGCCTCACTGTTAACCATACGGCGCATCCATTACGTTCCTACTAGAGGTTAGTCTCAACCTGATTACAGCCTTTATAAAGTCTTTGACTGAACCACTGGTTGGTGCGCTCCCAAATCTCGCAGTGCAAATAATCTCTCTCAGGTTTGCTGACACTCCATCATGACGTTTACCAACAAGTGTGATATTCTCAGCATCTAATGACAATCGATAATCGCAAAATAGCTTATACTATCAGCATTTGGGTGCACCATTTATGATCTCACTCCTAAGTGTGCCCAATACTACTGTAACGACAGAAGACAAGGGCCAGGCAGCAGATCCTCTATTGAGAAAATCAAGAGATATTTATAGATTTTTATGTACATTATTATTGGCGTTATTGTTAGCAGAGAAACAGCGTCTTCTGATTGATTGTTTTCTAGCTGAAGGTTATTCTATACTGCTTGTGACCGTTTCTTAGAAAGTTAAGCCATATATCTGCGAATCCTATTTGCACACGTTAAGTCTGCTGTGATTGGTTGGTGAGTTCCTCAAGGTTAAGCTTTGTTATTGTTTTTTCTCATGACCCCGATTCGGGACGTAAACATTGACGTAAATTGCTGTCTACAATTTTTGGCTTGCAGCTAGCTCTCACCACCCTAGGACTGCGCCAATTACATCAGCACCATTGGTTGATTTGAGTTACTTTAAAAATATTAAATTTAGCTATGATGGACTGATTTACCCCAACTAACCCTTGAAAATTAGTCTGGTGTTCGCTCGTTACTGGCTGCAGGACGAAGTTGCCTAGAGTCTTAGTGAGAAGTCGTTACCAGTGGTTTACAGGTCAGGTGTGAGAACAGATCCTAGCCTATGACACTGGCTAGAGGTCTGGCTGAAATTGCCAGCTGGTATAAGAGAGAATTCATAGGCCACGGGGTGTCGTCCCAGTGGTTGAATGGTCACTGACCTTACCTCATAACCTGAAGATCCTCAGCTCCATCAGCGGTAGGGTCATGAGTGCGTACTGTTAAAGAGTACCAAACCAGGACGAAACAGCTTTCCCCTACAACCTGGATCTGAATGATTCTGTAAATGATATCAGTCCGTGATCAAGCTGGAGACAGATTCCTCAGACTTACACTTGAAAATTTATTCATGCATTTGCTGGTGGGATTTATAGATCATTTTAATCACATTTTGTATAAAACCAGCACAATTTCATATTAACTGCTTAATGTAGGATTATTTTCTCGTCGGTTTTTCGTTTGATTATAAGTAAAGAACCAGAGGGAAGCACAACTTTCCATTATGAGGTGTCAAATTAGTATTTTCGGACTGTTATTTTATAAACGAATACGACGATATTCATTATTGTATGATATTTAAGAAATGCTTACTCATTGAACTCAACAGCAAGAAGACATCTATTTAAAAAATCTTTCAAAAACACTGAAATATTCGTCAAAGATAATGTTTCATTGTACTTTGTTTTTACCTGGCTAAGTAATTGTTGTTCGTATCTCTATGCCTAGGCAGATTTGTTCGGGGATCCCTTTCTGTTCGAGGATGTCCGCGTTCATCACGCATTAGTGCATAATGATAACTTGATACTCCCTAAAATTGAATTTGCATAAAATAAGTCTGAGAATTAGCTGCTTTTTAAAAGGAACTTTATGGAAGTTTCTTTCGCATAAGATAATGTTGGACCTGAAGTGATTTTAATTTAATAGGAGGTAATATACGCTTCATTTTAGATATAGAAAGTGCCTACAAGAAATCTAATCTACTTTAAGAACAAAACTTCACAAAAGCGATTGAATGAGCTATTATGAAAACTTTTGATCTTCCTGTCAGTTGGCCCTATCTCACAAGATTTAAATAGAGCCAGAGACTGAAAACTCTTCTCAATTTCGTGTGAATCAAATTGTACGCATCTGCGGTGATTACACCTCATACTCGTTATTCTAGACTATCAGTTTTTTTAATTATGTGGTGGGAAAACAGTAATTTTGTGATTCGTCTATTGAAAATTTGAGACCTATTTGTGAAATCTTTTATTCGACTGAAGAAAGTACGAAATGTAAGCGTGAATATTGTCTGGTAAGTTAAATCTTCTAAATATATTTATATCACTTCTAGCATAAGAATCATGGTCATTTATCCAAGCAGCACCATTTCAACCACAGGTAGCACAGATAAGGATATCAAAAGTAGGATAAGATAGGTAAGACAGACCGTCATCTCTTTGAAACTGACGTGGGAATCTATTGCAGTCAGCATGAAGAGCAAGATTTAGATTTTCCTCACTAATGTCAAGTTAGTTCTTCTATATGATTCAGATACTAACAGTACGCGTTATCAAAAGCATTTCCAGCAGGCTGCCTCAAATGTTTATCAACAGCTGCATTCTCCAGCTCCATTCTGAAGATCGGATTAGAAAGGATTAGTACCAAGGGACTCTGGGAACGAACCAATCAGGAACCTATTACTTGGCAAATAAATCAAAGAAAATGGAGGTGCATTATACAAAGGCTGAGGCAACCGTCGGATGATATTACACACACAACCTCCGAGTGGAGGTCAGGTGAGGAACGGCGAGTTTGGTGTTCCAGAGTGACATGGAGAAGATTGTGTAAGGACAAGATTAAAGCTTATGGGCGATTGTGGAGCCAGATGAGGAGAACGGGACAAAATGGAGATTTTCTGCTGCAGCCCTGTGTTCCACTGTGAACCTAAGGGAATAACGATGAAGATTTCCAGCAGATTGAAGCGTTTGACTTAATCTCACAAGAATTCAAATCATCATAATCAACAGTTTGTATTTTTCAATTAAAAAAAGAATAATTTGAATACTACTCACCAATGCATGGCCAACTTCATGTTTAATTATATTTACCCATTCACTTGGATTCACTACTCTCTTAGAGAACATATCGGGACACATGTTCAAGTAACCCATCACTGGTCTGATTGAAAAAAAAGTAAAAAATAAATACCAGATAGTAAGATGGCTGGAAATTACGTTTTAGAAAATTTAGCTAGTCAGTTCACATTAACAATGGTAAGAGAACTAGAACTGCAAACAGAATGCAGTACACCGTATACAAAGGTAAATCATCCTCTGCTGCACTCACTGAAGCCGGAGTCCCCCAAGGGGCTGTACTCTCCCCACTTCTCTTTTCTTTCTTTTTACATGACTTACCATCTTCAAATGACATTAATTTTGTCAAATACGCTGACGATCTGTCTGTATCTTTGCCTATCAAATGTCAAAGCGACTGCTCTAAACTTAATGGCTTTCTGTCAGAAATCAGCCAGTGGTCCAAGGAAAATGGTGTTACCCTAAACCCCTCCAAATGCCAAACAGTCAATTTCACCTTTAGGCATAAATCCGACCTAAACAAACTGTTTGGCTCTCATGAGGTATGCAACATAGACGGCACTGAAATAGAAACTAAATCGGAAATTAAATACCTAGGCGTCATTCTATCTGCTGATCTCTCCTGGTCGTCTCATATCCTAGCAATTTCTAAGAAAATATTCCGTCTTACCTTCTACATTAAGAAGTCAAAACATTCTGGTATTACTCAACCCTTACTCCTACAATTCGTTAATTCTCGCATCCTGCCTATTATTCTCTATTGTTCCCCCTTAGTTTTTCCCGGGCTACTGAAGAAAGACTATAACATATTACGCAGGATGTTAAATGTCGTCAGCAGAGTAAGCAACGTGCCACTTAACCAGCTTGTTAATATTTTGGTTGACAGGCACATGGACTCATGTGAAAAATGGGCCAAATCCATTTTATCTAACTCACACCACCCTCTTCACTCACAACTCTCCCCTTGCATCTCATCAGGCAAAACCAGAAGCCTATAAAGAAAAATATATGCTCGCACCAGCAAGTACAAAAGCTCAACCATACCCTACCTAGCTCGTGTTCTGTGTGATAAAGAAAGCATTAGGCGTGACACCTATAATTCATTAAATAGTCATTAGTACAACTCGATCTCATCTTTCCAACCCACTTCACCAATAGGTACAACATTTTCTTTCTTTTCCTTTTCTCTCTCTTATTTTTCCGTTATGTGCTGCTTTGTCTCTTTCTCTCGCTTACGCCAGTTAATAAGACAGCTCCCACTTTTCTAACACCTTCAAACACTGTTTCAGCTTTACCTTTGCTACTGACATGCCAATGTATTGTTGTAATAATGAACTGCGGTTTCCTCAATCTATGTAGAATTCTATTTATTGATAATGTACAAACTGGATGCAATACTGTAGTAAAAATGCTGAGAATTCCATTCTGTATCACAAGTACTGTTTTGGAATAAAGCAAATTATTATTATTATTATCATACTACCCATTAATGTAAACTTATGAATCTCCTGTAGTTAATATCTATCACATAATTATTCCCGTGGGTTCCTAATGGAACATAATGCTCCAACGTCACATCTCCACTCCACCCTCTTCTCTGCAGTCTATTTAGACTGATACTACTACTGTACATAAGCCCTTTTCTCCTCCCTAGACAAACTTCCTCATGTCACTATTGGACCCATGCCAGACTCATCGTTTCTAATTTGGATTCTAATGGAGTGTGATACTGCCCTATCCGTTTCGATTTCATTCTGCATATTTTTGGTTAGTTCATTGTCAGAACTCCTGGTTGCTAATTCTTTCTGACAAACCATCTGAGTTTCACTATGGAGTGACATCAGGTGTTGTTGAAAGTCTTAAGCCTGTTCGAAATGGCTTTGATGACACGCTAAATCTCTGTATCATATAAAAACACTGACTGGCTAGACGTTAGTGCTGAAAATAGCCATCACTGAGTACATATAACGTTAGAATTAGGTAACTAAGAAGAAGGAAAAATGCTAATAATGTCCTGCTTCTTAAGCATAACCGCAATGCAATAAAACGTTAAGTATACCCATGTTTTTGGCCAGATTAGGGTCTCAAGCGTAGGTCAGTTTTGGGCAATTCAGTTTCAAATACTACACGGTGTCATAATGGAGATAAAACTGGGGTATTTCAAGACACATTCAGTACTGGCTAAAAGAAATAACTAGAATTTAGTAGGCTGACTTACCTTCGAACTCGATAATGTAATGTGATTATAAATTATTGGCAGGGAAAATACTTTGAAACAGATTGCAGCAAGAGGGGCAGTCTATTCTATTCAGAATTGTCATACACAGAGTATGTGGCAATCGAAGCCTTTAGCTGATTTTGTGTTATTTAAACTTCTTATGTTGGATGCTAGTTGGTTTGAGGAATTAATTTCCATTTACATCTGTGCTTTTTAAAGATTTCTATCCAATCTAACATTAGTGTGTATGCATAAGTTAGGGAATGCTAGTAATGATTCAGATCACTCCTAGATTACGTGCCTTAGCGATAAATATATCAGGGTTCATCACGAGCTGATATCAGTTAGAGAACCATTGGAAAACCTGAGAGTAGCGGAGAGCTGTTTCTTCCCAGTTAGGGGCTCTTCATCAGTACGCACTCACCGGCGTCAATTCCAGGACCTTCCAGTTACAAGACGAGTTTTATATACCATTCAGCCACTGTGACCTGACCCAGTGGTCCATGAGTTTCAAACTCTGCTAATTCTCTAACTGATGCCAGCTCATGATCAATCCTCTAACCAATGAAATCTTTGTAAATCAACGCTCGAAAAGTATATCACTTTAAGTTTTTATAACCTCACCTAGTTTACTAGCTTGCTGGTTTTCTAGCCGGTCCCAAACCCGGGTAAAGAAGGACGATTCGACACAGGGCTAGTGACCCTACACCACAAAAGCCATCAAACTGTTAGAGAAACTTCAACGCACAAAATAATGTTAAAAATACAAGAAATTCAAAGAAATAATCTTATTCTCAGCTGGAATTGGGGAGGCGAAATGAAACAGCGGGCTGGTGAAAGTCCGCCTTCGGGAAGCCAGTCAGCCAGCCGATGTGTCTTCTCTCGATGAAAGCAAGAATAAGAATTGGGACGTGGAATGCTCTTACAATGTAAGAAACTGGGAAGGCTGTTCAAATAGCCAAAGAAATGAGGAGACATGGCATAGAAGCACTGGGTATCTGTGAGAACAGATGGAATGGATATGGATTGACAACACTGTCAACTGGAGAGTCAGTAATCTACTCTGGTCTGGTCACCCAGACGACAACCACGAACACACTGAGGCAGTGAGTGGCTATCATGATGTCATCAGTGGCAGCCAAAGCCCTAATGCAGTGGGAACCAATCTCTCCACCCAGAATCATGACATCAAGATTCAACTAAAAAGGGAGGAAGGAAGGTAACAATTATCGAATGCTATGCACACTGCTAAAAACAACGCGGAACCAGTGGAGAGGAAGGAAGATTTTTACAGACAATACAAAGAGTAATGGACAATATCCTAAATGGTGACATCAGAATCCTTATGGGTGATATGAATGCCAGCTAAATTGGGAGCAGACAACACCATATGAACAGAACTCATCATGGGTCGAGAGGCTGTCGCTCGGAGAAATGATTGAGAACGGAGAATTATTCGCAGACTTCTGCAATTTCAATGATTTGGTGATCGGAGGCAGCGTTTTTGAGCACAAGGACATACACAAAGCAACATAGATTTCTCCTGACAGACGCACCACAAACCAGATAGATTTCATCTCAATGCTGCTCAAGGGGGTGAAGACGCAGTCTGCTGGATACAAAGTTGATAAGGGCAGCAGATGTGGGCTCCCACCATCGTCTAGTTCAAGGAACCTTCAAGGTGAAGCTGAAATCCTTCGACAACAACTGGAGACAGGCCACAAATCAAATTCAGCACCCAGAAACTGGACCGAAGGACAAAACTAGAAGGGATGCATTCACTATAGATCAGATCAGAGCAAAGTTGGATACACTTCGTGCTGTGGCATTCCTGAGGAAACCTGCGTGGAGGAACATTGAAAGTCTCTGAAGGGGATGTTCAAGGAAACGTGTACAACTGTTCTAAGAAGAAATGAGAGGCAAGAGAAGAAATGGCCCTCAACGGATACTTGGAAGCTAATAGAAGAGAAGAAAGGAGGATCAACTACTGAACGCCAACCGTAAAGACAGCAGGGTCAGACGGGATTCCCCCCAAAAGCACTGAAAACGGACCCAGAGACTGAGGCAGATATGCTCACACCATTATAAGAAAGCGTTTGCAAGGAAAGAAAAGTACCTACCGATTGGAAGAAAGGCTGGCTACCTTGTCAAGATGCCAAAGAAGGGTGATTTAGGCCTACGCAAGAACTGGCATAGAATCATGCTCTTGTCCACGCCAAGTAAAACACTACGTCGCATCATCCTGGAGAGCATAAAAGATGCACTGGATAAAGAACTTCCCCACAGGAACAAGATGGATTCAAGAAAGGCAAATCATGTGCTGAGAATTCAACTCACACATCGTCATCACAGAACAAAGCATAGAAGGGTAGTCACCCCCCCTACCTCAACTTCATCGACTTAGAAAAGGCCTTCGACAGACAGCGTTGACCAACAAGTAATTTGGAAACTACTGCCTTACATCTTTATCAACCTCATTCAATAGTTGGCTACATGACAATTGCACGTGTCAAGTGGTACACTATAGGAAACTTAATGAGGCGTTCGATGTGAATACAGGAGTAAGACAAGCTGGCTGTCTATTATCACCGATGATATTCTTAATTGTGGTGGACTGGATTATGCGTCAGACTGTGCGTTGAAAGCGAGGAGATAGGAATACGCAGGACCATCTATGAAAAGACTCTAGAAGACCTGAATTTCGTAGATGATATATGTCTAATGTCACATAAATTCGAAGACTTTCAAGCAGGCGAAAAGCAACAAACTGGCTGAAGAAGCAGCCAGTGAAGACAGAACTGTAGGTGAACATAGAGAAGACGGAAGTGATGAGGATAACCGACCAACCGAGAGCAACGACAGCAACAACAATCAGCACCAAACACCATCAGCGGGAGCTATTTGGTAGAGGTTACTTCCTTCACTTATCTGGGGAGCATCGTTTCAACTACAGGAAGTCGAAACGGACGAAGATGTCAAAGCTAGAATAGAAAAGCCAAGATACGCCATCGTCAACTTGAAACCAATTTGGAAATCTTCCGCATTCCTCAACATAAAGAATAATATTTGGGTTTTCAACACAAATGTGAAATCGGTCCTTCTATACGGGTCAGAAACTTGGCATGTAACGGAAAGGATTTCTAACAGGTTCCAGACTTTCATCATCAGCTGCCTTCGCTGGCTCCATACTGAAGATCGAATGGCCAGCCAGAACGAATAAGTAACAAGAAACTCTGGTGATGAACAAGACAACCAAGAGCCGATCGCTCAAAAAATATTTAGTAGAAAATGGAGGTGTATCGGGCATACGCCAAAGAGATCGTTGAGTGACATGGCGTGAGGCCATAGCTCGAGTGGAATCCGACAGGAAGCGATGATTGGGTCGTTGGTGCGAGGGTGGCATGGAGGAGATCGTGCGAAGAGGAGGTGAGAGATTATGGGCAATCGTGGACCCAGGTGAAGAGGACGGTAGAAAATGGAAGAAAGTGGAGATGTATTGTTGAAGCCCTATGTTCCACTAGGAACCCAAGGGAATAATAATAATGTTTTTCTAAATTACTGCATTCCTATGATCCAGCTGAGTCCAGTCAACAGACATGATATCTCTAATTGAACTCGCACTAGTTATTATTTATTAAACTCAATATTTTTGCGTGATTGGGTCAACCCAATCCATAAACTGGAAAAGTTTATCCTCGAATATGTTTTTACGTTTAAATAGCCACCAAATCCATTCTTAGTAGATATTCTGCGTTGGGGTGCGGACGTTCTTTATGTGGGAGACTTGCGTTCCTCCCAGAAATATTATAGTGATCTTATAGCATTAATTCTATCTTTCTGTTATAGTTTTCCGACTGAGTCTTCATGCATTTCTGGTGGATAATTATGTAGTTGCGATATTGCTCTTATCCTTTTATTTTCTTATTTGAATTTTTGTATTTTCTATCTGGAATCTTGTCTCAGTTGCTCAGACATTCAATCAAAATTGTCTTCAGTGATATAAGTGTGATGGTCTGTCAGAATGAAATGGCCCTAAATAGATGCTAGTATTTGAACCCAATAGTATATTCTATGTATTTTGCAATGTTAATTCAGTATGTGCATTTTATAACTCAGTATTTAAATGAACTATATATAGTGAAGAAACAGAGATTTTCCAGACTTCTACATAGTAAATGTATCTCCAGTATACCTTAGAAGAAGTAATAAAATGTTATAAGAGCTGTTTATTGTGAGTATTTTCAGGCCCGCCTGAAAGCACGGGCTATATTCGTAATCTTATTATCACTTCAATAGTTTTACATATTATTTTATCTGATTATGTGAAGACCATAGAATCCATACCTCGTTAAGTCCGTAGAACTACTGTTGAGTAAGTTCCACTGGAGTCAGTTGTCACCGATCAACTGATATTAATGCGTGATTGAACTTGAAAGCAATCAAATCCCAACAAACTAACTCTTGAATATTTAAATTTGTTTATCACTCTGCAACAGTTTCAGCTTCTAGTGTAGATTTCTGGTTAATTTCATTATAACACTGTGAACGTATAACTAGTAACTCTTCACACCGCGTCAGTGAAAATAGGGAGAAAATGTGCGGAAATTCTTAAGTTTAATAATAAAAATCAGGACGTAATTGTAGGGAAAATTTCCATTGAAATCAAATACCTTAGTAAGGTTTTTGAAAATATTTCCCCTCAAAAATATTGCTTTTATTATCCTGGCATGTCTACCTTTTATTAAATCATGGAAAATTCCCATTGTAACATATAGAAAATCAAAACAAATGATTCAGCGAAGAGACTCTTTTCAACGAATTTATCATCAAGCTGTACAATCGTATATATATGGTTTTTAAGAAGTTATATCCGGTGAGGGAATTGAATCATAGGTGTGAATGCATAAAATAATAATAATAATATGAAATGCAATTAAAACTATAATGTTTGTGATTATAATCACAGTTAAATGTCAAGTGGCAAAGCAAATTAATGTCATATATAGAATAATTCATAGGATAGATAGAACTTGAATAAAGGTGTGCAATTATAAGATTAGTAGACAAATCGAATAAAATAAAAACGTTACGTAATATTATGTGAAATTTAATAGCATAGAATTTTATGTTGTAAAAAGGAATTGATTTAGAATGACAAGTGGAACAAGTGAAATAATACCGGGGACAATTAAAAAACGTGACTTATCAACCGTATCCAAGAAAAATACTTTACATGAGCTTGGAATTCAAAGGGGGACTTAGCTTCCGATATCATGAAACGAAGGATATCACAGTCCCTGAAAAGAAATTTCCTTGCTGCATCTCTGAGAATAGCCTTTTCTAGTCGACCATTGTTGTTCAATAACCTGAAGGACAAGATCCCGCTGTTGACCAACTCTATGTGTGTTTATCAATTCACCTGCTCGTGTGGAGCTAGGTATATCGGTCGTTCGACACGAGTTTTGTCCAAGAGGGTGCAAGAACACTATCCTGCATGGTTACGAAAAGGTGGAAGTGGAGCAATTAGAAGCGCGATCATTGAACATCTGGTCGATAATGATCAGCCTATCTCTATAGCCTCCGCCTTCAAAGTCATCTACAAGGCAAAGAGTAATTTACCCAAATCCCTACGTACCCGACTCATCTGTATTGCTGAAGCTTTGGCTATCGAAACAGAAAAGCCAGATCTCTGTGTACAGAAAAAGTTCGTTCAATCCCTCCAACTTTCATGGTCTTAATCCCTCTATGCTAAAGTATGGTAATCCCCAATCATATTTTAGCTCTACCAATTTTCTTTTTTCATTTTCGTCTATTCAATTTGTATACTCTTCCTTATTACGTCAATTGTTACTATTACTACTCTCACTTTTAACTGTCCCCGGTATTATTTCACTTGTTCCACTTGTCATTCTAAATCAATTCCTTTTTACAACATTAAATTCTATGCTATTAAATTTCACACAATATTACGTAACGTTTTTATTTTTTCGATTTGTCTACTAATCTTATAATTGCACACCTTTTTCAAGTTCTATCCATCCTATGAATTATTCTATATATGACATTAATTTGCTTTGCCACTTGACATTTAACCACGATTATAATCACAAACATTTTAGTTTTAATTGTATTTCATATTATTATTATTATTTTATGCATTCACACCTATGATTCAATTCCCTCACCGGATATAACTTCTTAAAAACCATATATATACGATTGTACAGCTTGATGATAAATTCGTTGGAAAGAGTCTCTTCGCTGAATCATTTGTTTTGATTTTCTATACCTTTTATTAGGCAGAAGATATTTTTAACAGCTGAAATTTAATAGTGTTTCAATAAATAACTAAAGTGTTCTAGCTGAACACAGAGGTCAAAAAAACTATCTTCGTTAAAGTCGTTAGCAATCACCTTATCTGATGCTGCTCTTGCTAACTTCTGCCTTGAACAATAAGTATCATTTACTATTTACGTTATGGACATTTCCACAGATATACCATACAAGTATTATTATTTTGTGGTTAAAGCCTTTAAAGTGGACTTAGTTTTTATTCTCTGAAAGAAAAACAGTAAATTAGTCTTGAAAGCAAAGACTGCTTATATCATCTAGTTTGCTGTTTCTGCACGTCATCAGCCTAAAGGGAAGGGAATATTATGAAACGGTGAAAATAGCATATTTATATATGTGTATGCCATGTTTATTTTACTCTTACCTATCCGTTAGAGGATCATTTTGACAAGATGTTGCATAGGCATAAAGATTTCCTGAACACAGATTATCTTGAGTATATGTGACAAATAAAACGTAGCTGTTCGGTGGTACACCTGTTCCATTTTGATAAATCTGACTAAGCATTCCATAAGGTGAAGCTTGATAACATTCCTGAATTTTTAAATAAAAAATTTAGAGAATTTCAAGCATTATATATATTTAAAATAGAATGAGTAATTGAACAAAGTATAAAAATAGGATAGAGAACAATTATTTGTAATAAAAAAATACATTATAAAGCATATTAAAATAGCGATTAATTGTATTCAAATTGTAAGTGAAGCTGATTCTGAGATAACTGAGGAACAGCAAGAAAGAAGCCTCCACTTCAGTTGTGAATACTGACCAAAGACAAGTCAACTGATTAAATACTATATTGCATTATTTCAAACCCGATATATAGCAGCGATTTTGATGTGGTTGTGTTCTCTGAGCTGGATAGTTAATTACGAAGCTTTCATCACCCTACTAGGTGACATCTTCAGCGCATACTTCAATTTGAAGTGAAATTTGAGATTTCTCCACGAGTTTATTAATCATCTCTCCCGGTGACCTTGGACGTGATTGGTTGTTTTTGTGAGTTTTCATATCTTCTAGGCTACTTGTATTGGAACTGATTGTTTCCTTGACTTGAACTTTTACCCTTTGTGTGTGAGGTTTATTTTTTATCGGTTGATAAATTTTGTCAATCTCAATCTGTCTATTGATTGATGATTCGCTGGAATGGCCTGCCATATATAAAGGATATATCAAAAATAACTGCAAGACTCGTCAAACCTTTAGGAATTGACGTCGCACACAAACCAACAAAATCACTTCACTCAGTTCTATGTCAACCAAAAGACTCAACAACGAAAGAAGATAAAACCAACATCATCTACAAAATAAATTGTAACAACTGCGAAAAACACTACATTGGCCAAAGTGGACGTCCCTTTCGACTTCGTATCCACGAATATAAGCTAGCCGTCAAAAGATATGACATGCACTCCCTCAAATCACTGCATACAGACAACCACGGGCATCAATTCGATTGGGACAATGTTCAAATATTAAACAGAGGAAACAATAAGAATGCTAGCGAATTTTTAGAAGCTTGGTATTCCAGTGAATCATCAATCAATAGACACATCGAAGTAGACGACAACATTTACCAACTCATAAGAAGGAAACCTCACACACAAATGATCAAAGTTCAAGTCAAGGAAACAATCAGTTCCAATACAAGTAGCCTAGAAGATATGAAAACGCACAAAAACAACCAATCACGTCCAAGGTCACCGGGAGAGATGATTAATAAACTCGTGGAGAAATCTCAAATTTCACTTCAAATTGAAGTATGCGCTGAAGATGTCACCTAGTAGGGTGATGAAAGCTTCGCAAATTAACTATCCAGCTCAGAGGACACAACCACATCAAAATCATCCACTTGAGCTACAAATCTTCTCCATCATATCTATAGCAGCGAATAATAGGGATCCTGGAATCCAGTATTTCTGTCTACTAGCCTTCCCTAAAGTGATACGTTAACATATAATTTCATGCCTCTGTTACTCGGCAATGTCTACTGAAGTTAGTGAATATATTTAATTGATCCGTAGCTATCAGTTTGACCAAGTAGCTGGCTAGAAATTCTGGTAGTTTGAACTGATGCGGCTGTCTCTGATGAACGCAGCCTCTAAACGAGTTTAACCACCATTCGGTGTTTAGGTCCCTTCGATCTGGCCGTCTAGCAAGCACTGCTGGTTGGTATGAGTGGTATGCAACTACTCATTTCAACCAATCAGTAGTATATAGTTTTGAGTAAATATACTGGCTTTCTTGATTACCAGTTATGATATCGAGCAGGTCACATATTGTGATCTCAATGACTTCGTTTCCAAAGGATACTATGGTCAAATTTCATTATATCTCTGAGTGTGTAGATTGTAAATTGCTAACCAGTTTGCAAACTGTGAGTTTCACTCAAGGTTTAATCCACTTCTAAGATTAGTTATCGAATGGTTGTTGGTGGTGCGCTTTCTCCCTTAACACTGCAATCTCTGTTATGTAGATAAAATTAATTTTTGCAGCTGAATGTTTTGAGTTATAATTCTAACCGACTTTTAAGTCTACTTCTGTGATAGCACTTTTGCTGTTATCAGAAATAGGAAGAATAAACAATTTGATGTTGCATACTTACTATTATCCTGTAGTGGGAAAATATTTAAAATTCCTTAATAGTCACTTACGCGGTAATCAGATATCATTTATTGCATTAAAATCTTCTAAAGTATTCCGGTTAAAAAGAAATACAATGGGAAATTAAACTACATCTAAACTGAGACTTTACCTTGATTGTCTAAGTGTTTTCTGTGATAGTAAGAATTCTGAAAAAGCAACTAATGTTAATAAAACAGCAGTTAATGGATTATCATCAAAATTTCAGCAGAAATCCTCAGCTGAATACTCTACATACATACAGTGGAACATATATACTATGAGAATACATTGAGAGATGTTTGACTGATAAATAAACTACAGCGAATGGACTACGTGAGACGACAAGTGCGAATGGTTTACAGTACGTGTTTAGACTGTGCGTCGGTGGCACAGCGGTAGAATGCTCGCCAACCACGCCACATGTGGTCCGGGGTTCGATCCCTGGCCGACGCACTCCTTTACCTCGCTAAGTCGGTAATAAGACTGGTAAAGAGGGAAGGTTGGGCATGAGGCTAGCAACCCAATCTCTTAGAAAATAAACACCACTGCTACAGAAACTTCAAGCCTCTAGCTTGAAGCCCTATGTTTCACTGGGAACGTAAAGGAATAAAAAACGAGTTCAGATAGATAAGGGGAAAGAACTTGAGGGATTAGAATTAAGACAATAATACATGTGAGTTCAATGACATCAGACAATGGGTTCCAATGGAATATTATGCTCACAGTTAGAATCATTGCTTTTGTTCGTGTTAACGTCTGAATACTATTCCCACAGTTCAATACTGCATTAGCAACAGAATACAATATATGTATTTGAACATTCTATTTCATGTCGTTTAATGTAAACCAAAATCACACGCTCAGTGATTGGCTGAAGAATACAAACTATATAGATATAAATAGCGGTTTGATCACTTGAAAATATACCTTGGCTTCCGTGTCTTGCTTTCTGCCGTTGCATAATCACAAAAGGGTCTGCGACTAGGGTTTATAAACGTGGTATAGGACATGGTGAATAGGACGAAATGGTAATAACTTTGAACCTATCATCGTAATATCTTTTGCTTGTTAACTGTTATTATTATTAATATTTCATTCATGTCTTATTATTATTCTTGACTCAATTAAAACTGTCATATGTCATTATCATTATCCTAATTTACCATTATTATAACCCACATGCCTATCATTTGTTGAACTTTCATCACGTGATAAGAAGACACTATCACCTGGTTTCAGGTTTTCTATCCCTGTTTAAACAATATCTCTGATTTAACCGTCAATTCCCATTTTGAGAATCTGTCGTAGTATTTTTATTCAGTGTGTAATCACTCGCATTTCAAAGTCTTTTCCTGATAACTTATTGTTTTCCAAGTTTTATCACAGATCGATATCAGTTAGAGAACCATTGAAAATCATCAAGGAGTACTAGGACAACTGTTTCGTCCTACTCCATCGGTTTTCGAACCCATGACCTTCCGGTTACAAGCAAGCGATCTCGTAGACCATTCAGCCACTGGGACCCGACTCAATGGCCAGCGCATGAATTCTAAATTCTACCAAATCACGATTTTAAAGCACCTTATTTTTTATTAAAGTGGTGTAATTGAATTGTGATCCATTATAGTCTTAATTTTAACCACTCATACTCCTTCCGTCTTATCTGTTTGAATCTGTGCTGTAAAACATTCGCACCTGTCGTTTCGCATGATTCACTCACTGTAGTTTGTTTATCAATCACATATCTCGCAGTGTATATCTCACAGTACATAATGTACCACTGTATGTATGGAGAGA